TAGACATCACTGAGAGTGATCACACTGCACATGTGTGAGTGTGTTTTTGTGGTTTAAGATTTGTGCATGGGGAAACTTTCACACCTCTATTTTTCTTTCGGTGCTCCGGTTTCACCTGGCGCACACGCACACACACAAACACAGAACATCAGGCTGCTCTGCAAATAAACTGGCACCAGATATTATCATGTGTGCTGCTGCTTTTCTTGGTTTCATTCCGATTTCCTTTTAACAAAGAAAAGTATGCTAATCCCCTCATGTCAACCTGACTGTGGAGACTGCCATGGTAATAAACACGGGAGTGACAGCAACAACAAACTCCTCTGAATATGCGCAGTCATCACGGTCACGTGGCATGTCATTATAAACCTTTTGGGGGATTTTGGATGATTTCAGTGGGTCAACAAGTTTGAGGCTGTAGGTTAGCTGAAAGGCAGGTGAATATCCTGTAAACAACATTATCACTGAGTTAGCAAAATATGGAGTTACTTCTAAATCAAGCAGGTAAAAGAAATACAACAAGGCAATGCTGACAAATTTCAGTAACAGTGTGATTTTGACCTAATTCACATAAAAATTAATTATCTCTAATATTAAACAATATTAAAATCACCTGATCGCACAGAGGTATGGAGTGGAACGCATGATATTAATGGCTTAACGGGGTATATTGGGCTTAAAATCAAAGTTTTCATTGGGTCAGAAGTGATACGGTAACTTATGCTGGACACAGACTAGACTGAAGCAGGTTATGCTCAGAGTTTTGATTTAAAAGTCAGCTGCAAATACCACATTTTGACGAAAACTTTTAACTATGCTTTTAATTATAACTATGAACCATATTCAGTCAAAAAACTTTCACTTTGTGAAAATGATATTTGTGTCTTTTTAATGAGTCCAACCTGAATCCATCAAGATTTAATGTTTTTCATACATCAAATGAACCGTTTCTGAGTTCTAATGGGCATCTGTAAGAGGGGGAAATCCATCAATCAATCCACTGAGAGGTAAAATACTTGTATTAACTTATTAATTCACAACAAATTTGCATTATTAGCTTTGCTTTTATTTATAAAGCTTATACAGTTAACAAACAGGAATATGGTTGCCATGAAAAGTTGCCATCTTTGGGTTCGTGGTTTAACTTAAAGCACAGTGCATCCTGGCTCCATTTCAGGTACAGTGGCGTATATATCCCCCCCAGAAATCTCACTCCTTCATGTTATAAAATGGGAGGCAAGTGAAGAAAAAAAAACACTATATGTAAATAAGTAGACCATACAATATCTCACTTCTTAAAAAACTAACATAATACTATGCAGACATTGTGTTTAAACAGCAGCCCTACACAAAGCTGTGAAAACCTGTTTGTCCCTTTCCGATATCATTCAAAGACACAAGTACCTTTCACGCAGAGGGGTAAAAATCTTCCTGCACCTCAGAGGAGCACTGCCAGGTTGCAGCAGCTGCTTCAAACAGCTATGAATCAGGCTATCAAATTCAGAGCCTTTTGAGAAGAGAAGCATTGGTGTAGGCCTCTGTCACTAGCAGATGGGGCAGATTTAGGCTTTGGATAGAGAATTGGTGGTGGTTTGGGTTAATCTTGTGCCTTAGGCTTTACAGACACTTTTGGACTGAGGAAAATATGTGAATGTAATTTGATTAATTATTTTGACCCTTGTCCATCAGTCGCTAGACCGCTGTCAAGCAAGATTTCAGCTTTGCAAACTTTAGTCTGCAGCTGTGTGCAATCAAACATTATTGCAATGGAATAATAATTACAAAAATGTATCTTTAAGACAGTAAATTGGTATGAGGAGTATAAGATCGCTTTTCACTTCCAATTCCTATAAGATGATAAAAACAATTTTGCCACAGAAGTATGGATAAAGAATATGTCCACGTATCTGAGATGTTATTGATTGGTGCTGGACAAATTTATCCATTCATTCATCAGCCAAACACGTCTACTCATTGCAGTCTGTCTCTAATGTGGATAAAACTCCTGCTGTGTTTGTTCCAGTGCTTTGTTGCAGTTGTAGTTTACTTACTCAAAACCTTCTGTCCAGTTCCCAAACCAGCTCGATGGAGTTTAAGTCTGGAGAAATCATTTGAAACCTACTGTTTTTCTAGTCTTGGTTTAGGATAAAGTCCTGACCTGAAAGTCTATCCTTTGTTGCTTTACCTTTTCTCACAATTCACAACAGCACAGACTACAGCACTAGTTTAATAATACATCAGCGAGTGTAGTGGTCACACTGCCATTATACAGACAGATGATAACTTAACTTGAATTGCTTCAATTTCAATTTAAAAAAAGGGGGGGAAACTGTGATGTCCTAAAGCTTTTGACATCAGTAAGCCACTTTGTCATCCCTTACACGTCCAAATACGCCTACTCCTATCTACAAATAACCAAAACAATCCCAAATATCAAAAAACGAACCAAAACAAATGTGCTCAAACTATCAATACCTCAATCAGAATAATATACACTCACTAGTCACTTTATTAGATACACATGTTCAACTTCTCATTTGCCCAAAATATCTAATCCGCTAATCACACGGCAACAACTCAATCCATTTAGACATAGACAATGGCTGATCTCCTGAAGTTCAGACCATGCATCAGAATGCGGTAGAAAGGTGATTTATTCCTACAGAATCACAAAATTGGATAATATAGGGTTTGTAAAACACTGCATGGTTTGATGAGTCTTAATTTCTGTTTCAACATTTGGACAGTGTGATCAGAACTTGCTGAAAATAAAATACAAACCACCTCATATCACCAGTTCAGGCTGCTGGTGGTGCTTTAACCCTGGAGAACCCATAGGGTCGGATCTGACCCCATGGGTGCTCCAGGGTTTTTGGTGTTATGGGATAATGGGAATATTTTCTTTGCACATGCCCTTGGACACTGAGTAAACACCACATCCTACCTGAGCATTGTACCCAACTTCTGAATACACTGGTTTCCTGAGCATAACAGTGAGTTCACTTAACTCAAATGTTCTCCACAGCCATCAAATCTTGAGATGTAGTTCATAAAACACAGTGGTGTTTGGACTGGATCTAAGCCAAAACACCACTTTTGGATTGGTGTGGAATGGGAGCATGACATCATGGATGTGCAGCCAATGGAGAAAATCAAGAATTAAGGCAATTCTGAAGGTAAAACAGGTCCAACCTGGTATTGCGTCAAAAAGCGATTAGGGAAAAAATAAAACTGAATTGAACTGAACAGTTTAAATATATATATCATTTTTTGATATGACTCATTTACTAGCAAAGTGTCTAAAAACAGGGGCTGTGAATGTAATTGGTATTCGGTTTAGTCTGGAGTAAGTCTGATACCATTCAGGTGTAACAGTATCTCATTTGCTTTTTGTTCAAGTCATGTAATGAGCCTGTAATGAAGCCATAAAATATTGATGCTCACGTTCAACCAACCGATCAACTTAAAACAAGATAGCAGAAAGAAACACTTCCCTTCCTGAGGAAGTACAGGTGAGGAGACTCACAACAGGAGAGGACTCGTTTAAAACAGATCATAACTTATATTCAAGCACAATTTAACAATAATGGGCAAATAAAGACACATTTAAAGACTTTCCTTTAAAAAATACTTCACTCTGTCATACCTTGGCTATGATAGGTCCAGACGATTACTTTAAAGGCAAAAAACTACAAAAAGAATTTACATAAAGAACTATTAAGATTATTGTGTTAGCACAACTACAACTGAAGAACAATTTATGCTTAAAAAAATGCAACCTTTCATTTTATAAATTTCTGTTATATATTTAAAAAAAACAAAAAAATTGTTAAAAAAAATGTATCTGTCCAACTTCAAAATCAAAAATACACTTTTTATAAGATATTTTAGTTACTGTATGCTATGCTTGGCACAACCCTGCTGCCAATACTTCAGTCTGGAAACGTTGATTTTAAAAGTATTATTCAATAAATCTTTGACCATTAGATTAAAGATAGTCACCCTCATACTAAATACTCATTAAATTAAGACTTAATTTATGTTAACTTAAGCAACTTAAAATCTATCTTAACCAACCTTTCAGTAGTCAACCCTTATTAGGAATTTCAGCATTTATTTTGAAATCTTAAAAATACTATTCATTACAAAGGCAACAGATTAAACACTTGTATGCAGAATGGATATATGAGTTTGAATTTGTAGATTAGAAAAAAAATGTTCAGGTAAACAGAAATGTTTTTCTCAATAAAATATTACTTTGTTATGCTTCGCTTTATATGTATTTAACATAGTGGCGCAAAACAGGTAATTGACAGATGTGAGCTCTGGAACCTAATACACTGTGACAGTCAAGGATAAATGTAGTTATATAAAAGGAAGGAAACCTAAATTAATTAATTTTATTTTGGTTACACGGGTAACAAGGTTGCATTGACTCAGTCTAGTCAGAACATACTACAAGGGAAAAATGCTAAATGTATCAAAGAGGTCTGACTTTTAGTTGACCCATATTGTTAACACACAACTCAATCGTGCCATTTCGTCTTTTTTCGGGACGGTTCTGTCTTTTCCCTTCCCAGACTGAATAGGTTTCAGTATCAGGGTTGTGCATATACGGTGGGACAAAATTTGCAGAGGATAATTATTGTTCTGAGTTATTGCTGTATTATAGGAGAAATATGTCAACAAACACAGAAAAACAATAACAACAAAAGATTTATAACGTATTTTAAGTATTTTACTGTTAGTTGACATGCGGGGGGGAGGCTGTTTTGCATTTTAAATATTTTGGGACCACTTTTTCAACTACTAGGTTTACATTTTGTCCCAGTGCAGGTTTAATTTTACACAACAAATAAATGTTCTAGTATTTTGTGCATGAATTGTTTTCAAATTCACGTGAGACAACAGAAAATATCCTGCAATTGTAGAATGGTCCATAACACCGCCGCCATGAAGGACACGGGGATATCGAAAGAAGCAGGTTATTAACAACTCACCTCAATTATCTCATTGACGAGGGCTGCAGCAGTGTCTGTTCTTTCTCCACCCGATTGACTTCAGCGTTTTCTTAAACTTAATAGCTACTACAAAACTTTCATACTGACTGTTCACTACAGATAGATAGCAACTAGCATTAACGTAGACTTGTACGAACTGTACTATACCTCGATATATAAAGATAGTCTCACCTGATCATCTCACTGCTCTGCCAAATTAAATGCACCATCTGTTTGTCTGTGCATCTGTTTGCTAAGCTAATGACAAACTGCACTCACGCTACTAGCAAGGTCGCTAAGCAACGGTAAGCGAATCTTCCAAGGCTATGCTAACCAGCTAGCACAGTAAATATCGATATCATGGAGGAGCCTTTTTTTATAGCATTGGTAACGGTACTGCAGTCTGTAGGATTGTTTATTTGCTTGCTAATACCTTTCTTGTTGAAGCTGGCTTATTTGTGTAGCATTTGAAAAATACCTAAAAGACTACACAAACGATGAAAACTACAACTACATGGATCCTCAAGCTGCCGTTTGGCGATTGTAAGTGTCGTAATCAAAAGAGCTTAAATACGAGTGACCTCTGGCTTGAGCGACAAGTGGGAGAAACAGAGAAACGTGAGGGACGTCTTGCTTGTCTTGGCAGTATGGTGAGTAGATACAGTAAATATGTTGGTTAACTTATTTTTTTCTGCACTGGAGATTAAACTGATATTCACCCTGCTAATGCAGGAAATTCACAAAGTAAGGTATGCGTTGTTTCTAGCTCACGGCATGACGCAGCCAACCAGAGGACTCAAAAGTTGACTTTATTTAAAAAGTCTCCTTTCGTGTCAAAGTCACGTGACACTTTTCTTATTTTGGTTATTTTAAATTGATGCTATCGAATAAGTGTCAAAGATGGCGATGAACCTGATCCCCCAAGTATATACTCATTTGTTATGCAACCCTAAATCGTGTCTGCAGGCACAGGGCTATTTTTGAACTCACCCCCTGCTTTACTAAATCTTTTAGACAAGAATGGACACCCAGCCCACGTGCAGCTCCAGTTAAACTTTCATGCTTGTCTTATGAGAGAATTCAATACTGTGATTGTTAACAGCAGATTTCTTCACCTTGTGTCTTGCAGGCTGAGCCTATTAGAGTTCTGGTGACCGGTGCTGCTGGGCAGATTGCCTATTCCCTGTTGTTCAGCATTGCCAAAGGAGATGTGTTTGGCCAAGACCAGGTAAAGAAGGGTTTTGCCCTGCGCTTGTTAAACACTCAGTTCCTTCTGCCTGTCACCAGGCGCACCCATAAAACTGACAGCTGGGACTGTCACAAATTTTCCAGGTCATATCTGGGATGACATTGCGCATACTGTATGTTGTTCCTTTGGAAATTGATCAGGTTACACTAGCTTATTTATGACCGCCCAGATCAACCTGGACTGTCCTTGAAGTCAATGAAGCGGATCTTGTGCCAAGAGCACTTGATCCAATTGGTACATGGCTTAGGCCTTCCCATGCTGTCGCAGAGAACTAAGTCTCCCGCTGACATGTAATTGTATACAGGGGTTATTATGCAATTGCATTTAAATTCAGTTATTTCCTTTTTCTTCTGGCAGCCAATCATTTTGCTCCTGTTGGACATCACCCCCATGCTGCCGGTCCTGGAAGGTGTAGTCATGGAGCTGCAGGACTGTGCCCTTCCACTTCTGAAAGGTAGTCCTTTAATAATTGAGCAATGCCAGTGTGTGGGGTTTTTTTTTTTTTTTTTTTTGTGGTGTTGTTTTTGGGTGTTCTGTTTAGTTTTTTTTGTATAGGCATTTTTTCTTTTTTTGACAAGTGGGATATTTGAGAGCAGAAGTAGCTAAATTATCTTTTTTGTTTTTTCTTTTCTTTGCTTTCAGCCTTTTCTATTGTTAATAATAGAACTGCATGTGATACTTCAATACACTTAAATAAATTCTTAAACGACCATATGACAAATGAGATCTGCTGTTCCAACTCACGCTCAATCTTCCCATCGTTCATGAAAAAGAATGCCTTGCTGGAGGCAAACAATGGTGTTTTTATTTTTTTGTTTTTATTTCCATTTATACAGATACCATTTCTTCATGTGTGTGGATTTTTTTTATTTATTATTATTTTTTTTTTTTTGGCAGAGGGATCACCTTGTAAATGTTTTAATCCACCTTTCCTTCTATACCTACATATCCCAAAATATGATCCATGAGCAGATGTTAGCTAATAAGAGGAACCTACACCATTTTTGTTGGAGGTGGTGGTTTTTCTTGAATGCTTTAAAGATTTGGTTTGCACAAATGGGCTCGTTTTCTTGTATGGACCCAGTTTTTTGTTTGTTTTTTGTTTGTTTGTGTGTTTCGTTCCTGCTGTCATGGACTCAGTCATGAGGCGCCACTATGTGCCATCTCCATTGTGACCTGGAATTTTTACTTTGCAATGGTGCTGTCCTTTGCTTTTGTTTGCACGGGGGCTGAAAGAGGCCCCTGTATTAGCCAGCCACGATGCAAAGACAACACCTCATGCACATCAAGACAAAGATAAATGCAGTTCTCATCAAACTGGTCACCATTTTTCTAAATCTTATGACTGCACTTTAGAGTGATGCTTTGTCTCAAACAATTAAAGAGTCAACACGGTAAATGTCAGATGCACAACACAAACAGGAAGGACTTCCTGTGGACCTCATGTTCTTTTGTTATAACAGTTTTAGGGAGTGTGTGTGTGAGCAACTTTTACTCATGCAACTTTTATCAGGAGCTGACACCATGTTCCCATATTGCAGTAAAGATCTGATGTGCCATTAATTTAAAAGGAATTCATTTTTTTCCAATTGTCACATTTGATTTGACTGCTTCCCTTCAGGAACAAATTCCACTATGAACTTAATAATCCCTCTCAAGGTTCAAAGTTGACAAATTGCCAAAGAGTAAAGTACTAAAAACCTATTGTCAATTAATTTTCTCCTTCTACAGAGATCATACCCACTGACAAAGAGGAGGTAGCCTTCAAGGACCTGGATGCAGCCATCTTGGTGGGCTCAATGCCCAGAAAGGAGGGTATGGAGAGGAAGGACCTCCTTAAAGCGAATGTGGCCATCTTTAAGAGCCAGGGAGCTGCCCTGGATAAGTATGCCAAGAAGACTGTGAAGGTAATTAGAAGCATATTTTCTGATGTAAAACACTCCCTTCCTGTCAAGTGAGCAAATTTGAAAGAAACTTCTCAGCCTCTGCCAAATAGAAATGTTTCCTAAACATTTTGTGCTTCTGGGAAAAATGGCAAAATCCTAATGAAGTATTTCCTGATGCCAAAACATTTTTCCCTTCTCGGTGTTGCATAATACAAGTTTGCTCGATTTACTCATGATAGTAATAAGACATAAAATCTGCATGGCATATGTTTTTAAATTGGTTTATGTGTTCAGGTGCTGGTTGTGGGAAACCCTGCCAACACCAACTGTCTGGTTGCAGCAAAGTCTGCTCCCTCTATCCCCAAAGAGAACTTTTCCTGCCTCACCCGTCTGGACCACAACCGGGCTCGCTCTCAGGTACAGTCCTCTCACTTCTTTCACTTTCTGATGGTGGTCTCAGACGTTTGGCATCCACATTGTTAATCTTGGCTGACTGCAAACCTGGCTTTTCTTCGTATCCTGTAGGTGGCAATGCGCTGTGGTATTCCAGCCACTCAGGTGAAGAATGTGATCATCTGGGGGAACCACTCCTCCACACAATACCCAGATGTTCACCACTGCAAGGTCAACATGTCCGGCAGTGAGCTGACCTGCTTTGATGCAATCAAGGATGATGATTGGCTTAAAGGCGATTTCATTACTGTGAGTTATTGATTTCTAGATGAAAGCATGATATTTTATAGCTGGAGTGTACTCGCACTCGGATGCTTTTGGCTGTGCTTGAGAAAAGGCCTATAATATAATCCTCATATTTTACTTCATTGTTCTATCTTTTCTTCATCCTGACACTCCTAATAAGATTAATGGTTCTGAACATTAGTGGTTACATTTGTGGTTTAACAATGCTCTTTTTTTTTTTCTTTTTTTTTTAAATTTGCACAATAGTCAGTTTTCATGCGGGCAGATGTCAGTAAGACATGAAGTCCCTTTTTTAGGCTGAGCTGATATACTCACCTGTTTTCCAAGTCTATTTGAACTGCAAAATTATTCATCTGTATAGGCAAACAGTCTAATTTTATGTGGTTATAGGTTTGGAGTTCAGTTTTTCAAATGCCACATTTATTTTGGAGCCTTGAGCACCACTGACTAAATTTAAGTGATAATGGCTACAGACAAGTCAGCCTTGAGCTTGCTCTAAAGACAAACTATAAGCACTTGTATGAGGCCCCTTTTCTGCTAGCAAACATGTAATTTTCCTTCAAGCAAAATATTTTCTGGAAGACATTCAAAAACATGTTTTTTTTTTGTTTTGTGTTGTTTTGTTTGGGAACCAAAAACCTCAAAGATTTGCAGAATGGTCAAAAATCCTCAGGGTGTGTTTCCAAAACCTCCAAGTCATATTTGTTGGGTCTATCCTGGGTTCTTTCAGGTAGGTATGCCTGAAACAACCCTTACCTAGAAGGTGCTTGTCTCTAATCTTATTCTTCACACATTTTGTAGCAATACCCTATGTTCCTGTCCTTACCTGACAGCTTCACTGTCATGATCAGCTCTCTTCATTACAACAATCTCTGCATCGCTACAAACAGTGTACCGGTCCTTGTGTCAATCTGCCACTTATGAACAAAGGGAGAACACGATTATACCTCGTTGCTTGCAGTGTGCAGCACATGTAAAGCAGATATTTGGGGGACAGTAAGTATAGTAGTAGTAGGCAGGGGCAGCATTTACATGAGTCCAGTTGATAAAGAGAACTGATTCTCAAAATCAAACCTAGTCACAGAGCTCAATAACACTCCTGCATTTTCATTTAATGGCCCATGTTCTTTCTTTGCAGACTGTGCAACAGAGAGGTGCTGCAGTCATCAAGGCCAGGAAACTTTCTAGTGCCATGTCTGCAGCCAAGGCCATCTGTGACCACATGAGAGACATCTGGTCAGGCACCCATGAGGTAAATCCTACATCTGTTTGTTATATCGGTCATTTGGGAATTTTTGCATGTTGCACTGTTCTGATAAGAAGTAATTATTCTGACGTTTAAAGATCCATTTTGCACTTTTTACCCCTCAGCTGTAAAAGCCTGCTGGGGTATTGTCATTGGGCAGACAGTGGCATGGACATTCAAGTTTGTGAATGCAATAACTGGAATGGGGTGATGTAGGCTTTTCATATTGATACCATAGGTGCATCTACTAAAAATCTCAGATGAGTTTAAAACTCAAGGTGAAAGGTCCTCACCGAAGATTTTCAAGTTTACACCATAGGTGCATCTGCTAGAACACTGAGGGGTAGCACTGGTGACCAACATTATTTTTGACATGTTAGGATGATGCCCCCTTTGCACCATTGATATTAATTTGCAACTATTTTGACAAACTGTAGGTTCCTAAATCTAACAAGATCCTATACTCAAGATGCACTGTAGCAAATTAGATTATTTTTCATTTATTTATACTTCCTTCATCGTAGCAGAATGATTGAGTTTATAAACTTGGATTTTTTTTCCTGTGTGAAAACAAATCAAAACACTAGAAAAAGATACAAGAGAACTCCAAGGACACCAAAATGCATCACTACAAACCACTGAGTATTCAGTCTGGTCACTGGCCAGATGTGTCTGCGGCAAGTAAATGCAGAAAGAATGTCCTGTGTTCTGGACACACTTTGCATTCATTTCACAGATGGTTACTAGTCTGCACAGACCTTTGCACATCTGTAGTACCTGTCTGTCGTTCGTTCGACCGAAATCTGCATTCTACTATACTTGTGAGAACCAGCAGTCACTTGTGGGGACACACAACCCGGTCCTCACATATTTAAAGGCATGTTTGAGGCTCAAAATGTGGTTTTAGTGTCAGGGTAACAATTAGGTTATGGTTAGGTTTAGGATAAGGGTTAGGATTAGGCATTCATTTTTGATGGTTAGGGTAAGGGGCTAGGGAAAGCATTATGTCAATGAGGGTCCTCACTAAGGTGTGTGTGTGTGTGTGTGTGTGTGTGTGTGTGGGGGGAGGGGGGTTGTTTTTAAAAAAGCTCAAACTTGGACAAACAAGTAGTCGTTGTTTGTTTTTTGTCGTGGTCAGCTCAGGTTCACACCATAAACGAACTGCTCTGGAGTTCACTTGGAACCGTATCAAGACCACTTCCTCCAAAAGGTTGTGGTGCGGTTGTTTTGGTCCACACCTGAGTGCCATTACTGTGTTTTAACCAACACACATGAACCTCACCAGAGGGGTAAAACAAACCAGAGTTTGATTTAAATGGACTAAATGCTGCGGGTGTGAAAACGGCTTCAGATTTCTGACAGGTTACATATGGTTCTATTGTCAGTGATGCAAAGTATTTGGAAAGGCTGCATTTTATTTTAAATTCACTTTTAATGAGGTTTTTTTCCTTTTTAAGGGTGAGTTTACCTCTATGGGTGTTTACTCAACTGGCAACTCCTATGGAGTCCCTGAAGACCTAATCTACTCATTCCCTGTCCAGATCCAGGTAAGCCTCGATCTCACTTTGTCTCCATTCTTCTAGCAGCTAGCATCATCTTTTCAGTGCAGCTTAAGACTAGCATTACCCTCCATTGTCTTTTTTTTGGATGTGGATTTTATATTGAATAGGGTTTTTGTTGTTTTGATTTTGTTTTGTTTGTTTCTTTTTAAATTAAAGTTTGCATTAAATAAAATTTTGGGGATTTATAGAAACATTATAGATCAAAGAACAAAACTGAAGGTACTTCTTTTTTTCAGAACAAGACCTGGAAAATCGTGGACAGTCTGGCAATCAATGATTTTTCCAAATCAAAGATGGATGCCACTGCAGCTGAACTGGTGGAGGAGAGGGACACAGCTGTGACTTTCCTTGGAGTATGACTAGAGCCTGCACAGCAGCACTTAGACAGCCTCAAAACTCCAGATGCACGCCTGTGATGAAGCACTCCACCAGCCCCTCCATTACTGTGTGCTTGTGTGTGAGCGAGTTGGTGCTTATGGGTGTAAAGTTGCATTTGTATGTCAAACGATGTGAATCTGATTGTTATTGTTATTCAAGATCACAAAAATGTGTCATACTTTTGACTACATATGACTGGGTAAGTTTAAGTCAAAAGCAGTTGTTGTACGTCATGATGCACAAGTATCACTCACCATAAGTATACAGTACACTGAAACTCCACTACTAGTTAAAGCTCTCTCCATTGTTTTTTTTCCCTTTATTGATTATTACATGGATCCTTTTTACAGCTAGTGAAGTCCTAAAACACTGGAATATTAACGCTGAGACAATTAAAAATAAATAAATTAATAGAAAAAACAATAAGTTGTCTGATTATTGATTTCCATACATGGATGCTGTCATTTTTTTCCAGGTTTTGGCAATACAAGCCTTGAGTTGGTAAACCTCAGCCACTAAGTGTAAGAGTGTGTGTGTGTGTGTGTGTGTGTGTGTGTGTGTGTGTGTGTGTGTGTGAGACACACACAGCCTTTTAAAGCACTCACAATAGGCTGTTTGAATCCCCTAGGTTACCAGATGGGCCTCAATGAGTCAATTCTGTTTAAGGATAATTTGATGCAAATGCTCGATTACTTTGTGATCTGTAGTTGTGTAGTATATTTAACATATTATGTATGTATATAAAGTAACTAAAATTGGGTCCTATTGCAACATTTAAATGGTGTACTAACATTAGTTATGCATGCATATTTTTATTATGTGCTATTTTGCATAGTGAGTAATTTGAGGTGTTTTTGAAAGCTCTGTTTGGACTTCAGTAGTTTTCTGATTTCCTATAGGCACAACCTGATTGTGATGGGGTCCTGATAAAATATAAAGTTAACTTATTAAGACTTGATATGTGGCTTTATGCAACCATTATTCTATTACAGAGATTATACCTTGTTGCTTGCAGTGTGCAGCCCAGGTAAAGCAGGTACTTGGGGGGACAGTAAGTAAAGTAGTGATTCACTTACAGTGAAATGACACAGTTTCACCAGGCAGGGGCAGCATTCCCTGTTTTATTTTTTACTCAGTTACAGTATGAAGAGTTATGTAACATCTGCAATTAATAAATTCACAGCTGGTTCACTGAGGATAAGCGTTAAATGGGGCAAATCTACCAAAACAGTCACCACTCCCATATCAACAGTTTCATTTTGGAAATCCCAGTTAAAGTACTCGTTTTAATCTTTACATTAAATTTACATGAAAAAATAATCATTCGCAGGTGTTTCATAGATGTCACACATGTCAATGTGAACACGTTACTTCTTTTTCTTGATATCACTTATTTCAATATTTTGTATTTATTACACAGCGTGCTGCGAGGAAAAGCCTGTTCTAACGTTTGAGTCTAAGGTTTACTTTTTAGCACCTGGCGGCTCTTTTTTTTGCTTCTCATCCGAAAATACTCTGCATACTCTTTCACGTGATTTAGTTTATTTTGAAAAGTCTCAACGGGATATTGAGCTTTATTGTGAAAGGTTTACGTGACGCGATGGTTTTACCGTCGTTGTTGCTAACGTCAACACATAAATACAGGCGCTTGTCCGTCCGTACTGTGGTTATATTAAATATAAGAGAAAGAGAGAACTTTAATAAATTAATATAGCCACTACAGTGACCATCAAAACGATGAAAAAATATTGCCGTAAACAGTTTATTTTGCGACACCACGAAATAAACGATAGCGCAAAATTAAACGATAGACGTTTTTATATCGTTATATCGAACAGCCCTAATTTTGAGCTATCTTCAATCAGACATTGCCAGAAACCAACATCGCACGTAGCAGAATCCTATTGGCTGTTAAAACCACGCACACAAAAACAGCATTTGTCATTGGCTCCCATCCTCCCTCGGCGTTCCGATTCGTCGTTGCCTAGAATGGCACTGGAGTGTAAAATATCTTCAAAAACTATCCGATCACCTTTTTAACTTCTGCACCTTTTTTGTACGTCCTGTGCTTTTTTTTTAACACCCATTCAGCGATGTCGAAGGGCAGCAGAAGCGGCTTGAATTAAGGTGTAAATAAAACACATACATATTTTTGTGTACCCCGCTGTCTCCTCTGCTGGATCTCTGTGGTCCTCCAGACCTGCAGGACCAGGCCGACCCCATCGACTTTTCTTCCGCCAGTATTCTACAGTAAGAAAATGGCTTCAAATGTGTGTGTATGACGTGTTTCCCTCTCTACATTAGCCATCGGTAGGACTCCACACGCGGCTGGTGTTGAGGCGCTATGTCCGGGTTTTCTTTTTGACATTTTTCAGCTGAGAAAGGTCGTTCCTCTTCCTCCTCCAGTGTTACGTTCACGGCACCGTTGTTGATTATAGTTGTCTCCTTGCGTGTGGCTTGTTTGTGGAGGGCATAGCGTTCATCTCTGTCTGTACATCACTCAGTCACTAATTCATTTCCGCAGGCAGCAGGTCATACAGACAGCGTGACTGTACCTGTGTGCCCGGGTGTGTCTTTGCACATCTCGCCGGTTAATTATTGACGGCGTGTGTGTTAGTTGACTTTAAAAATCCCTGTGGCAGCCATAAGGTGATAAAAATGAAAGCACTCGAGGGGGAGGGGGTGAGGCGCTGGGGGAAAGAAGTGTCCAGAGGTTGTGAGACACAGTAAGGATTTGTGACGTGGTTGCAGGGTTGGGGCAGGGGGAGAAATACGGGCGGTACGAGCAGTAAAAGAGCTGGGTACATCGGATCCAACTTCACGTTGAAGGGAGGACCACTTGGCTGGTGTCCAGAGAGATAAGTGTGGTCGGATGAATGTGTCCTTGTTTTACTCGCAGGCACAGCGTCTTATCCTTTAAAGCTTCAACGCTGGATCGATTTAAAAGGCTTGGGCACCAATGAAAGAATGACCAGTCGGATGATTTAAGGATACCTCAAGGAAACTTTTAATATTATTATTATATATATTTTTAAATCCATTCACCGGATGTTTGCTCAATGACATCTTGTTTTTTCTGGGATACAAAACTTAAAGCGTGTCCACTATTATTTTAAACACTACTTGGCAGCTTAACCATGGCACTTTATGTCGAAGGTAAGTGATCTCTATTTTACTAAAATTGTGACTCTAGGAGAGGGAGGCTTAAAGGATTATGTTTATTTTTTTTAACGATCTATGTGTTTTTTCCTGTTCATTTCAGAACATTATTTACATCAACTTTAACATATGAGAAAGTGTGATTTATCACATTTTAATTTTAATCACTGATTATTAAAAAAAAAAAAAAAAATCCACTCTTTGCCAGACTGTTACAGGTTTAGTTGAGTTTACCATCATTCATTTGACCAATAAGAAAAGTTTTTTTTTTTTAAAATTTCATAAATCTACTATTATTCCTAAACCTTTTAGTAATCATATTAAATAATCTTCACTACTATAGTAGAGTAGCCCCACTGTGATAAAATAAGCAGTAGTGTGATAAATGTATGTTTAAGTCAATAAACGAATGCATTAATAACTGTGAGTAATTGTTAACTGATGCCTTCATGTGAAAAATGAGGCCTTACGAGTCTTCTTTACATAATCTTTAGTAGATTACCAGTAATCTGTCTGTAAGCAAGGTCTTCTTGGGAGACAGTCTGCTCACGGTTTTCTAGTTTACTCACTGGTTTCATTCAATTCCTCCTTAACATGAACACACAACCTTGAACTGCTTTATAGCAGTTATAAACACAGTTGGGATTTTTTTTTTCATCATTGGTATCATTGTTCTGCTGACATGTGGTGACTCAAACACCTCATTGTGATAGTTTACACAAGTTTCTGCTTCTAAAATGCTATAATTAACTGGTTGGTTAATGCTGCAATACTTCCCATGAAAAGTGAGAGTAATTTTGTCCACAGTAACACTGACACCTGATTTCGTAAATCTTTAAATGGTGTTAAACTGTTTCCCTTTGCTACTGTCTGCTATTACAGTATGTCGTGGTATTTGCCATTTGGCTTCAAAGTTCAGTTTCCTGTTGTCTCTGTGCCAGGAGCAGTTGATTGTTGTGTTGTAAGGTCACTTAAGGTTAGTTGCAGCGCTACTTGGGAAATTGGCAATAAAAAGTCTGAAAGGCAGGATATCAGGAATTAATAAGCTATATCTCACAGCAGGTTAATGATTTCTAACGTCTTTATATACTCATGCTTTTCATTTTTTAAGTAATAACAATAAATGGTACTATCAAGGCGTTCTCGGTGAATATTATTATTTTTGTCATTGCCATTCATTATATTTCAGCTACAGTTCATGTAGGTTTTTTTAATAACTTCAGATCTTTATTCTTGCTTTTGGTTTGTGGAAAAGTGAGTTTCTATTGTCATATTTACCTTTTTTGACAATGTGTGTCACATTTTGCTTAACAAGCAGTGAACATGTTTAACTGCTTTTACTAATGGACCATAACAACAATTAGGGTGAAAATTGCTGTGCTAGCAGGTATAATTGCCTTGTCTCTTTGTATTTAATCAAAGCTTTTTAACTGGTCAGTGTTTGGTTTTATTGGCACATGCAGAGCTATTGTTTACCTTGTGCTCGATGTTAACAGATGGACTGATATTTGATAATCATTTCTTAACAAAAACAACATAAACTGCCATTTTAGAGATAAATTAGCCATAGATTAAGTTGATTTAAAATACCAACAGCATAGAACCTGTGTTGGGCATGTTACTGTTAAAAAAACTGTTTTCATAACTATCTTAAAGCTATATTTTCCTTTTCTGAATTACAGTGATCTGCTGTAACTTTAGATGTAATTACCTAGCTGTCATTTTTTTTTCCTGTGATGCAAGGAAGTTACATTAAAACTCTGCTTGAGACTCTCAAATATCTCTCACAGTCCAAGGTTTAGTTTTTTAGTATTGTTTACTTATCTATGGAACAGATTGCTAGACACAAGCTAACATAATCACGAGGGTATCGCTGCTTGGAATAACGGGTGCTACAGTGACTCTTTAAGTATACCTCAACCCTTTTACGTCAAGTCTAACTAGAAGCATGACAGCCCTCCTCTTAAATGTCATTGCTTTTATCATACGGCGCAGATGGCTGTTGACTCAAAGACTGTGCCCATGCTACAATAATGGTACAAGAGCCTGTGTTTACTTCTTTGTACATCAGTCACTCAGGTGTTTCCATTGAGATCAGGGCTGCTGTTGATTAAACTGAGGATAAAATCGTTTGGTCTAAAATGACTGCAAGTAAAAAACAAAGCAAAAAAAAAAAAACAGCATTTCAGTCTGGTTGTATTCATTGACGATTCAAGGAACACAAGGTGTCCATGTGCTATAGAGGTTCTTGGTGCGAAACAAGCCCAATTCATCACCCCCTGTGCTTCGCAGTTGGTATGAGGTGTTTATATGGAGGCAAGTTGAGCATTTTAGCAAAAGTGGGGCTGCGCATTATGTCCAGACGTTTCCACTTTGGCATCATCCTCTGAAAGGACATCATTCCAGAAGTCTTGTGATTTGTTCAGATGTAACTTTACAAACCTGAGTTTATGTGCAAGTATGTTAAAAGCTAAAAGTTAAAAGTGCTTTAACGCTTCAGACTATTTTTTTCTTTTACTGTTGGATCTGTATGATGTCAGAGAGAGGCGATATCCTTAATATGGGCTTCTCAAGCACCCATTGGTGGTCTGTGGGTGCTATGCAGTGCTTGCATGCTTACATCTTCATACTGTAGCTACTACCAAAAAGGAAGCCGTCTGGCTACATGTAGAAATTCTGTCCATTAAACACTATAAACAGAATCAGGGGCGAAGGGCATTCAACCTCTTGATTTGATTGGCCAGTTACGCTTTAGATGGACTTATCTTTTCTGCACATTAAGGTGGGGTTTTTAACTGGCTACAAAAGAGGTAAGAACTGAAATAATATATTCAGCCTTTTTTTTTTTTTTTTTTTTAAAGTGGGTTAAAGTTTTTGAGCCAGGAAAAACCTTACAGGAATTTATGTTTCTGTGTTGCGTAATCAGACATAATTTTATCACACACAAAAATAAACAATGAATAAAATCAGCAAAAAATCGAGAAATGTTTCACTCTGAGGATTGAGCATATGATACGAATCAAACACGTTAAAACTGTCTCCCGTCTCACTCCGTATCTCACCGTCTTTCGTGTTTAGGTCTGAGTAAAGGTGTGGCTAACGGAGGGATGGCTCAGTTCCAGGAAACGATGCGGCAGCAACTGGAGAGCTCCATGCACGATGAGCTGGAGAAGCTGCTGGACACCACCACAGGGGCTGAGCGAGAGGTACACAAACTGTCTGCTTTGCTGTCTTTCTCCCTCCCTCTCTGACCATCTGGTTGTGATTCAGAGGGTGGTGGGGTCACAATGCTGGGAAAACACAAAAAGTGACACATACTGGAGCACACTGCCAAAAAGGGTTCCACCTACATATCTCATAACATTTTAGCAGCCAAACTTCTTAAGCAACATTCGCCCATTTTTGTCTGGTTTTATTCAGACATGATACGTCAGCAGAGGGGTGCAGGCCCTAAGAGACTAGGCAGATTTTCTCATTAGCCCTAAATGAACCTGAGTGAGCTCTTTTCAGCCCACAGCACCAACGTAAGACTAAAATCCAAATTAAAATGGCAACATTAACACTCTACAGACTCGTCTTTCCTCTGTGAGATTTCTTTGGCTTTAAACTAGCATAAAGCTTGGGACAAAACTGGAAATAAATAGTGCAGTGTTTAGCAGTAAACTCTTTCAGGCATTAACCAAACCTTGTTTAACTGCAAGCAATCAGGGAATAAAACACTCAGAGTAAAGAGGTGAGAAGTCTGTCACATGCAGGTGTGAGCAGTAATTCCCACACACTTTCAAATATATTAACAGGAATCGCTTTTGTACTTGCTGTAACTTATACGTGTAAAACGCCATGTGCACGCATACACACAATGGGTTACTCATTGAACTTTGAAGGTCTCCAGTGTAATTGGATACCAGTGTGAAAGTCGAGACAGTGACGGCCACCTAAACTGTTATTTGCTCCACATTGGGTGTTTGACTTTTTTTCATCACCCATAAATGGGACTTTTCCTTTTCTTTTTCTTTTTTTTTTTTAAATTAAAAGATGAAAAAGCACAAAGCTACATGGCATGTGACAAAGTCTGGACTGTACAAATCCAAATATTTTGTGTAAAAGCAAACGAAAATTTCAATTTAATTTCAATAAATCCAACCAGCTATGTGTGGCTGACATGAAGTAATTATACTGTAGATTTCACTTTTTAAAATAAGATATACTTTATTATTATTCCCACTGGCTGGTGAAGTTTAGAATGTATGAATACATCATTCTTGTATTTGATGTCCAGATGCTGTTTCATCTGTTTGTGTGCACATCTGTTAAAGTCGTGTATAAAATGGTTTCTGAAGAGAAGTTCAAAACAAATTTCATATAGTCACAGTGGACCAGACAAATTGTATCAAACCTTCAAGTAAAACAATTAATGTGTATTCGGGACAAAAAAGGGTGTTTAAATATTTTTCGGGACCTTGGCTATTTTGTTTGTCTGTGTTAAAAATATAATAACTATATGTTTAAAACAAATACAGATTAAGGCTTCAAATGTGGAAATATAAAAAGGTCCTTTGCTGCAGTTTTGCACTATACTGTTGAACTTAAAGAATATGCTAAATCACCCACAGGAAAGAAATAAACAGTTTTTAAATGAAGTTCACACCCATAAATTTGCATAGAACAGTAATGATCCTTTTTATATGAGAGGTATGGGGCCTTTGAAGCACACTGCTCAATGTGTGTAACAATCCATGAAACTGAGACTGAAATTGCAATACAGATGTCTACAATATTGTATCGCGAATCCTCAAACTCATCTTTTAAATTTAAAGCTTTCCAGTATGAATTTGATGAATGGAAGTTTTTAAATTCAAGACACCAGCCCCACTTAAATAAACCGTAAAATGCCTGTAAAATTAAGTATAGTGGTTTTAGTCAAACCATTTTTCCAAGGCGTGCAGCTTCTCTTCTGCCCTCAAGGCGATAATACTCTGAAATAACTGAGGCCATTTCAGAAGTGATTTTCAACATTTTCATGTCTTTCTAGAGACCACTTCATATTGACTTTGCAAACCTCAGCCTTAGTTTAAGATAACATCTTTGTTTTTCAGGTATCCAAGAAAGACTTTGAGGGCTTCAAGAATCTCTTCCATAGATTTCTGCAGGTGAAGGGACCATCAGTGGAGTGGATCAAGATACAGCGACCTCCAGAAGACTCTGTAAGCCTTCTTTTTTTGTTTTTAGTGGTTAATTGTATGTTTGTCTGTGTTGACTCTGGATTTGTCTTTGTTTAAAATATTAAAGCATCTATTTTCCTTGCAGAAGGGGGCATTCGACCCCATAGCAATGGTAGATATGTCATATATTTAAAAAGTAGCTGATATTGAATACAGAATAAAATAACTTCTAATCGGTGGGTTGTCGGATTCGATTTGATTTTACCCTTACCACTGAAAGTACAAGTGAAATGATGAAATATGATTTTGGTGATGCATTCACCAGTTGTGAGATTAAGTGATACCAAAAGATTGCAGTGATAAGTTCTTCTTTTCAACTTGTGAAAGCATCACTCATTTCAATCCCAGATATTCGTCATTCACTGTGATTGTGGGGAAAAAAACAGTTAGACAGTTGGTGTTTTGCAAGTTTTAATACCAGCGCGTTGGTGTCGTTAAACCTAGCGAGGAACCTGCATTTATATTTCTGCACAGCGGCGTTTTCCTAACAACGCCTAACGCAGTCGGTAATAAAGTTAGTTTTAGTGCTTCAAGAATCTGTCTGCACTGTGCAAGTCTGATGTGTGACTAACATTACTCAGCAGCTTCAGAGCTGTTGGATGAGCTTGCTTTGGAGCTCTTTATAACAATGGCAAGAATAGACGATTGTATTAGTTTGTTTGCCTAAAAATGCTCCGCTTAGAAAATTACTTTTACACTCTGGACAAACTATAAATTCAGCTTGCCTCAGGATTTACAATGACCTAAGGAGTTCCTGCACCAATGAAAACCTTTGTTAGAGTCAACAAAGAGAGAGAAAAAAGATGTGTGGTTGTCATCAGCTATTATTTTCACCTCCACCAAGGAGGTCATGTTTTTGGTAACTTTTGCATGTGTGTCACTCTGTCTTTAAACAGGATGGCTCGAAAGGTTTTGAGTGAATTTTGATAGAACCTTGTAGGGGCGTAGAGTGGAAGCATCTTAACAATCCATTCAAATTTGACTTGCATCCACTAATGTGTTCACGGTCCACATAATGATTAATTTGCATAAAGTTGACAGTAAACCTTGTGACTTAAAACCTGTGATCCTTACAGATGCGGCGTGTATCGTCAACATATAGAAAGTTCTATATAAGGATTGGAAATGTCATGTCACATTTGACCACACGCACACATTCAAGGTCAGATAGATTGGACTCAAGGTCAAAATGATAATAATGTTATTCAGAGCTATTTAAAACTGTTTCTTACTGCCATTGTTTAAACTGACAACATATAGAAGTATAAGGAATGATTTATGGAATATCACATCATTTTACAAACATATTTACTCAACAATGAAATGAACACCACAAACAAAACACAAAATGAATGTATAGAATAATCCAAGTCTGTAAACAGAGTGCATTTTTTTTGGATGATTGAGTGACCAAAATTCAAAGTGGGTGGTTTCAGATTACACGATTACACAGAATAGGTTTCCTTTTCTTGCTAAACTCTGTACGCTTGCAGGCTGCTGCATAGAAAGTGGTTAGGTGTTGTCAGCTAGCACCGGGGAACACTGTGAAATACGTGGATCAACCAGTAATGTTGGTTTTTTGTTTTTTTTTGTTTTTTTTGTGTGTGTGTGTGTGTGTGTGTGTGTGGTTGGTTGGTTTGTTGTTCCAGATTTGTTGTTCCGCCTCTTGTCTTAAGAAGCGTAGTGACTTTGTGTTCAAAAAACTAACATGGTGGAAACCTGAATCATTTTTCCTTTCACTAACCCTTAATGGGCCTTTATCTCTAGCTAGCTCCAAGTACCACACATTTTCTTAGTGGGGTCTCGTCTTTCTACACTTTAAGGACAGTCTTTGTTCTCTTCTATGTGTCATCCGCAAATGAAGGCAAAGCCTTACTGTTGAAACTGAAAAGTCAGATTTTTCTTCTTTGTAACGGCACTCGGGACCTCCAGCAGTTCATGAGCTGTAGAAAGACTGTTCTTCTCTTGATTCCATGCTTTGACATCTAAATCTGGACCACTGTGCTTGGTAATGATACTTCCAAGATGACTTCACTATTCCAGGTCCAAGTATGACTGACTCGGCACTGGTTACATTGATTCTTGTGATTTTCTTATTGTCCATCATATAGGATGTTGGGGCCTACTTGTGATCGGGTGTTTTTTAGCATCATGATCTAATCCTGCATCTGCTTGATTGTAGTGGTTGTGAGAAAGCAGAGCTATAGCATCCCAGTGTGTGCAAGTGTGGTGTCTACGTCCATGTTTTATACAATCTATAAGTGCACCTCCATAGTTTGCTTGTCTGTTTGTAATCCTTCTTTCTGCAAACGAACACCAGTGCAGTACTCCTGGCTTTACTTTATTCCATTACAGTAAAGCCATTACAGTAAGATCCATTATAATGTAATCTTGGTGACTGTTAACATTTTTAGACACAGGGTTATCTTATTAGAATGATTCTAAAGAAATGGTAATGGACCATTGTAGACTTTACAGGGATAACACCCACATTTCTGAGCTGTTTGTATCCTGAAGGCCCCTTCGTGGATTGCAGTAGTCAGCCTCTTTGTACTGTCTTCTTAAGCAACTGTGGATAAAACTACAAATTAATAGTGGCCTGCTTGTCTGTGATATAACTGACCACTTACCAGTTTTTACTTTGTGTGACTGTGATTTTAAAAAAATAGATACCAAGATCATGATAGCAAAACGAACAATAAATGAAGAAGCAATTCATGCCTTCAATTTCGATTTAGCACAACAAGATTGGAGTTCGGTGTATGAAGAGTCAGATGTGGACAAGGCTTATGATAATTTCCTAGATATTTTTACTATGTGGTACAATAAACATTGTCCTGTAAACGAACACATGACAAAGAAAAAAAAGATAAAAAGTCCTTGGCTCACAAAAGGAATTCTTAATGCTTGCAAAAAGAAAAACAATCTGTATAAACAGTTCATCAAAGTAAAAACAAAAGAAGTGGAACAAAGATATAAAGCATATAGAAATAAATTGACTGATATTATAAGAACGAGCAAACAACTTTATTATAGAAGAAGATTATATGAAAATAAAAACAATATAAAAGGAACTTGGGATGTGTTAAACAACTTAATTAAACAAGGATCTTCTGGAACATCATATCCTGAATATTTTACTGATGCAAATGGTGAAAATCACAACATGAGTAATATTGTTGATGGGTTCAATAAATTCTTCATAAATGTTGGCCCTGAACTAGCAGCAGACATCCCGTGTCATAAAAATGAAAATATCAGTAATATAAAATCAAATCCCTTTTCACTGTTCCTCTCAGCTACAAATGAGCAAGAAGTAATAAATATCACATTAAAATGTAAAAGTAAGTCTTCAATGGATTATCATGACATAAATATGTCTGTAGTTAAACAGGTTATTCTGAATATTGCTAGTCCCTTAACATATATCTGTAATTTATCATTTCAGTCCGGTTGTTTTCCAAAAAAAATGAAAATTGCGAAAGTAATACCACTATATAAAAGTAATGACAAACACAGTTTTACCAATTATAGGCCTATTTCTCTACAGCCTCAATTCTCAAAAATTCTAGAAAACTTTTTAATTCAAGATTAGAAAAATTCCTTGAAAAACATCAAATAATAAATGTTGGTCAGTATGGTTTCAGAACGCAAAGAACCACTTCAATGGCGATAATTGAGGCAGTAGAAGAAATTACTGATACACTGGATAAAAATAAATATGCAGTTGGTATTTTTGTTGATCTCAAAAAGGCCTTTGACACAATCAATCACTCAATATTATTGGATAAATTGGAAAGATATGGTATTCGAGGGAAAGCTGGTAACTGGTTAAAAAGTTACCTAACGGGTCGGGAACAATATGTTAGCATAGGGCATTACCATTCAGAGAAACTTGGTATTACATGTGGTGTTCCCCAAGGGTCAGTGTTGGGACCAAAACTTTTCAATGTATACATAAATGATATTTTTGATGTTTCTCAAGTACTTAAACTCATACTGTTCGCAGATGACACCAACATATTTTTCAGTAGCGATGATTATACTGATCTTGTAATGACCGTAAACAGGGAGCTAAAATTAATAAAAAAATTGATGGACATAAATAAATTATCATTAAATATAAATAAAACTAAAGCAATGTTTTTTGGTAATTTAAAATATAATGTAGAATTACCAATTATCATTGAAGGTGTACCAATTGATAATGTGAGTGAAAACAAATTTTTGGGAGTCGTAATTGATAACAAAATTTCATGGAAACCCCACGTCAGACACATAAAAACCAAAATTTCCAGAAGCCTCGCAGTTTTGAACAAAGTGAAACCATACCTTGATAAAGATGCACTTCGTACTCTGTACTGTACTCTGGTTCTTCCATATCTTACATATTGTGTGGAAGTGTGGGGAAACACATATAAAAATACAACTAATCCATTAGTGACAGTACAGAAACGAGCACTGCGTATTATTCACAAGGCTGGTTATCTAGATCATACTCACAAATTCTTTCTTCAGGCAAAGTTACTTAAATTCCAGGATCTGGTTAATTACAATACATCCATAATTTTGTATAAAGCTTTTACTAAACTTTTACCGGCAAATTTACAAACTAGATTTGAAATTCGAGAAAAGGTTTATAATGTGAGAGGCTTTGGAGAATTCAAATTACCCAGAACTCGAACAACCCGTAAAGGTTTTTGTGTGTCTGTATGTGGTGTGAAAATCTGGAACAGTCTGAGTTTACAATTGACACAATGCAAAAATATTCATAGATTTAAATTCCTCTACAAACAGTTGGTCTGGTCACAGTATACTCAATGATGGTTTTTAGTGTGCTCTGTAATGTCTGTCCTCTTACCATTGCTGGTATGGATTCAAAAAAAAAAAAAAGTGTGCGTATGTATGTACATATATGTACATGTGTGTGTAGATATATATGTATGTATATGTATGTGTGTTTGTTACTTGTAGTTATTACT